ATAAAATCTGGTTTTAGGCAATAAAAAATATATAATGTAAGAAGTATTTTTTGTATTATTAAACATTAAAGGGCGCCTCTTATGCCCCTTTTCACAAGATGTAAAATAAGTCTCTGATGTCCGCAGAGTGTGTATGTGAAGTGTTAGTTCAAAATACCCAGCAGATCATTTTTTACAGCATGTTTAAATTGTCACTTTTTGGGGCTTAAAAAATGCGCCGTTTTAGTGTGTATCCCTTTAAATGCAAATGAGCTGCTGCTGCCGGCACAGAGGGCGGAGCCTCACGAGCTGGCGCTCAGTGGCAGGACAATCTCATGGAATGATAATATTAAAACAGAAACTCACAGTAGCGGTGTTCATTTCGTCCTGGAGTTGGACAATAATGCTTACAGAGCCAGAGAATATATGCTGTATGGAGATAGAACAGGTATAGTTTAGTTAAATTACGGTTATAACTTATTTGTCATCTGCTTTTATCCACTATTTAATACAAGCCTGCTGTAGCAGACCCCGTCCGAATGATGGCCAAAAATACACTGATGAGTTTAATTAAGTTTATTGTACATCACACAAAAGATGAAGCGTCAGGTTTACTCCAGAAAATCACCGTAAGAGCTGAATAAACACAGTATAAGAAGTGCGCATTAAAGTCTTATCCATAAACTCTCTCTCTATCCCTTTCATTATCATCAACATACACAGCGAAGTGCACAAAACACTCATTACAACTAACAGTAAACAAATATATACACCTTTTGAGGGGGTGCTTAATAAACTGGTAAACTTTATATCCGTAAAACGACTCAGATGAACTGTAATAAAGTGCGCGCTCTCCCTTCCATTACTGCCGTGATCCGTAACATTAGGCCTATCGATCCGGAGACTGTAAGCTGGATCATGAACAGTTGGTAAAGATCCATCCTCGAGTAACAAGGACTGCTATGATCATTCTTACATCTTATAACAAACCACCTCAATCGCTTAGGAAACATTCTTGTCCACAGCTGCTCCGGAGTCGAAACAATGGCTGACTGTGTACAGTTCACTCAGGGCGGGTCTATGCTAAAACTGCAGTGTCCATCAACAGTTGTGGGAGGGGCTTGTGCAAAAGTACGTCACGTTGCCCTGAATCTGAGGACGGGTTGTTCTGAGACAGTGCTTATGGTTTATGGGGATAAAAAAAAAAAAGCACTGGGTGGATCTTTTTCATTATATGGTGGTTGTGTACACACACTGCTAAACACACATTTATGTTCAAACACCATGTAAAAGTGAATTTTGCATAATAGGTGTCCTTAAAACATTTTTCAATTTGCAATGAGAATTGTAAACCTTTTTTGTTTTTTATTGTTGCAGTCCAATGTTTTTTATACAATATACATTTTTTAGACAATATAATCATTGTCTCAAGAGTTTAAAAAAATTCTGTATCTATCGTAACTGTCTGAAAAAAATAATTTATGAAAACAACAAAGACTGATGGAATAAATGCGCCATTGATCCAACTGTACAAGTAAAAGTTCTATCAACTGGCCTGAACCTATCTAAAATGCTTATCATGCCATTATAATGTACATCATTGACCATCCTCCATATCTATTGCAGTATTAAAGCTGCCGTCGGCAACATTTTTTTTATCATATTCAGTGAAATCGACACTATAATCTGACAGAACAACATAAATAAAGTGGTTTTAGAAAAAAAACCCGAGCTTCTAACTCCACCTGGAGCGTGTTATTTGTTTAGCAAAAATCCACAGCTCCCGGTTCATCATGTCCAATCAGCGCAGGGGGGTGTGAGATCTGACTGTCACACAGTCACAGATCACAGATCGGGCACACGCCACACCTCGCGCACATTACAATCACATGGCATGCACACGCCTGAAGTTCGCGGAAGTTCGCGCAGTAATGAAGAGTGATGGCGGAAAATCAAGTAAGCTCATTTAGAGTATAAATGACGTTAGCAATTGCAATCTATCGGTAGATTAGCCAGGACAGCATACCTCCAAATACTCCATGGTGTTGGATGCTGATGAGACGGGCGCGTTCCAGGGCTCTCAAGTTTTGAAGACAGGTAAGAGTGACACCCAGCCGACGGGGGGTTGGATACATTTTTGTCATTGGTTGTTGCGTTAAATCTTACCCAGATACAATAGTGCTATTTTCTGATTGGCTATTGTGTAGCTCGACGAACAACACCAGAGGAAACGCGCTTGATTCATGCCGGTTCCACAGTGAGAGCGGCGCGGCCAGAGTTTTGGGCGCTGCGGCATATTAAATATATTACAAATAGTTTTTCAGCGTGAGAAATACAATGTGTGGCGGGAGAGCGTGACAAAAGACCGAAATGAGTGACTGTCACGCTCAATGCGTGACACTTGAGAGCCCTGGCGTTAACTGAAAATCTGGTGCACACGCACTGACGAGCATGAACTCGGTGGGAGGGTATCTGTTGATAGTGGGGGAGGGGCATGAGAGTTGTAAACATTCAAAATTTTCCTACATCCACTCAATCTGCCAGACTTGCCGACTGCAGCTTTAAGTTTTACAACTGACTACTGAACAACCCAGATGACTTTTATTAATTCATAATTTGCTCAGCTAGCCGCATCTTTCCTGTCTAGTTAACTGACTTTGCAGTTTCTCCTGCTATGTAATGTGGACTACAGCTGGTCATTGCTAAACTTCCATTCTAGGTCATGTGACCTAGTTTGGAACCGGGATGGAATTTGTTACTGACCCCTCCTTAATCCACTCCTCCCCCAAACATACACACACTTTGACACAAGCATGTGTGTACGCACAAACACAAACTCACACAGACACGCAAATAAAGCCAGAGATGCTAGGTGGAGAACATGCCCACTGAGGCACCGTGGGTGTGTGTCCACCTTTGACATTCCAGAGTGAATCTTATATTATAAACGATACAAACAGGACAGGAGCAAAGGAAGATACAAGAGACAGATACATAGCAAGAGAACAAGACAGCGGAGGAGAGGAGAGGAAAGGTAGCGTCCAGCTCAGGCAGCTGTGTGCTATTACTGCTCTCCCCCACCCCTCCTCCCGCGGCAGGAAATGAGCAATCATTTAGTAGTGACAGGTACACGCCGAACCTCGGCATCTCTCCCCTAAAGCCCTGAGAATACTCCACCACAGCCGGCCAGCATTAACCCTACAGACCACCACAGGCCGGTGTCTGCCTGGGTCAAGTATGTGTGATTATTTCTTGTGTTTAACAGAGTAAGACTGGAGAGAAATCTTTGAAAATCCACAAGTTGAGTGGTGCCCAAACTTTCCAGCCCACAAACAATCTTCAATCAGATCAGAACATCCCAGTACCATCCAGTCACAACAATGAAATACAAGTTGGCACTTTTGGGCCTTTCACACTTGAGAAATGTTAAGGGCCTTTCTACACCCTTGTAACGCAATTCATGGTTAGTTAGGTTTTGGGATGTACATTTTTAAACCCTGGGTTAACTGTCTTGTTTGCATATTTATGAGGTCAATAACATTGATTGGACAAACACAGCTTGTGTGCATGTGACCTGTTAACAGCTTGTCCATTTCTGAAAATGTCACAATGTAGTTAGAAAAAAACTTCACTTATTACATTTGTTGTCTCCTTCGTACATTATCATTTTTCTATCACATGCTGAAAATAAATAGCCTAATGTGTGAAAGTTTTTGTGACTGTATAAAGATTTTTTATAAAATAAGCACTATTCATTTTCTAATCGGCTGTCAGTTAAAAAACTCACTATATAAAATTCTAGCACCAAGGCTTATTGTTAATTAAGAGTGCACAAAAGAGATCACTTTTGATCAATTTAATGATCCCTTGCTGAATTAAAGCTACAATATGTTTGTTTGTTTTTCGCCGCTAGGGGTCACTAACCTCTTACAATAACAAAGGCGTAGATAGATTGATGACGCAGTGATAAGCGGAATAATGGAACTCGCTGTCATGCTGATGGATCTAATAATGTTTATGGATGAGTGAAAACATTCATGTTTTTTAACATGACTGTGGTATGAAGCAGGTCACGATTGCTAATGAGAGACAGATATCCGCACCACACACGAGTCCCGCTGATATAAAGGAATGAGGACATTTAATTCTACCGAACTACCAACAAGTGCTGAATTACTACTCACACAGGTCAGTTTATTAAACGAATTAAACGCTGTTTCACTTGGTCTAACGTTACACTATCATACTAAACTGCATTTGAGTGTGTTGAAAGTTATAATGTAATTCTGTGTTAGTTTGTTGGCTATATGAGACTAGCAGTAACCTAGATCAACATTAGAATAACATACGGATCATATTTTAACATTTCATCATGTTGAGTTGAGCTATATAACATTGATTTGTTTTATGTACATTTGCTCACCTGTCTAATAAAGTACATGCAAGAGCGACTCTGTCAAGTCGAAGTTTACCGCGAAGCTCTCTGCATCTCGAAAACGCCATGCCGATATTGATCCTCGTTTTATTTCTCCTTTTGTCCCAAAGTCTGCTTGCCATGATCCATAATGTTTGAATGAAACAACAACAGTGTGTCGCTAAACATTACGCAGTTATCCACATCTGTCGCCATGGTTACTATGGCCGTACAAGCGGAAACCAGGGATAACGCGGAAATTACGCCATTGACAGGCGACAAGTGACGGGCACTATTTAAAATTGTGAATTTCTCTGAATTTACAAATTCTTGGAAACATTTAGGATCATGTAAGTCACAATTGAAAGAAATATATAACACTGTGCAAGTGTTTTTTTTATATTTTTATACAAAATTCGTACATATTGTATAAAGCGTGCCACAATTTGAGAACCATAACACTAGCTGAATGTTAATTTTGTTGCGTTTTTGCCGGATGGCGATTAGGTCCAAGTCCCACAGTCGACTATGCCAGGTCTGGAATCAATAACTTTACACACAACTGACGAACAAGCCAGGCTTTACTGAAAACAGCTTAAAAGCTTACAACCATACAGCGTTTCCAACAGCACCCTGACATGATGAACAATCACTCTGTGCTTGTCACTTCTAGGTGAACATCCAAAGAGAACAGGCTGCAACAAAAAAGTTAAATAAGACCCACACAAACACATTTTAATAATGTAGCTGGCAGAGAGCATTCAGACAGAAAAGCAGCCTGCCGCTTATTCATGCATGCGCCTGATGCAGAGCGACATAAATGTCCTCATTACAACAGCCAGGTTGCCTCTAAACAGCCTGTGCAGACTGAACTTCATAAGAAATAGGAAAGATGTGGTTGTTGCTGGAAGAATTCTACATTCATTCATCCGATTTTGCACAGAATGCCATGGATGATCAATTTTAGATCCGTTCGCATGCAAGATCTGGCTGTAGTCAATATCATAGGTTTTAACTGCATTAGTTTGCTTTACATTACATGCGCCATTAGAAATGGACATTATGAACAATAACTGTTTCCCTGTTATAGACAGGCTTATAGAAGACAGAAGTGCTTTATCTAGCTTAATTTAGATGCTTTCAGTAGAACTATAATAGTCAAATATTTATATAGAGAAAGGCCAAAGTACAAATGAAACGCAATTAAATAAGTGCTCTTAATGTGCTACAGACCCCCAGCTTGGCAAATCGGTCCGATTAGAAAGTAGTTCTAGTCAGCACTTCAAGTACCGCATACTGCAACAATTCCTCAGGCATGCTGAATTCAGCACTGTAAACTGTATTTCACTGGAGAGCAAGAGACAGGTCTATCTGCAAACCGAACAAAAAAATAAACAAAATCGGCCTCCATATTGTTTGGTCTGTAACAGACTACTCCCTCAAGCTCAGAAACCTCTTCTTAAGAGACAATTAGCCCATATAGCACAGACAGTACAACTGTCTCATTAGAGCTGTATGCATGCATTTATTCTGCATGGACTGTCACAACATAACCTTACACCTACATTGTCTTTTTGGTATGAAAGGCTCTAATGTTTAAATGATAAAACATTTCAGAATCAAAAGGACAGTTCAGCAGTATTTCAGTATGTGTGGTTTTTTTCAAGCAATGTTGGGTAAAATAATGCGTCTATATCAACTATAAAGATGAGTAAATCCCAGCCTAAGAAATAGATGCTGTCCATAGCATTGTTCAGATCATAGATAGGGCTGCTGATGAAGGGATTCTAAAAATAAAATAAATAATATTTAAATAAAACAAATAAAAATAGAAGCTAATGAATTACATATTTTAATGACATTTCTAAGTAAAAAACCTTCAACCTTTTTTGCTTTTATGTCGGGGCAAAATCTGCAGAATGCGACATGATGATGTGATAAACTGAGCTAAGATTACTACACTTTTATAGGTGGCAAAAAGCATGATAAAATTAGCCACCATATTTAATAAACAAATGCACTAGGGAAATACGTAAAACTTTCATCACATGCTTGTCATACACTCTGGAACTCTATAGCCCATATTTCTTTCTCCTTGACATACATATACACACACACATGGGTTCTGAGGCCATAACATGCATTTATGTAAAGACAATCTTCATATTACAAAAAAACTGTTGCATCCCACACCATCCACTGTCTCTCTTCAGGCCACACCCTTGTCATATAGGCCATTGCAAAATCCTCCCCCACACACACAATGATAACTTTCATTCAATTTAATGTGGAGAGGGAGGAGCACGAGTCAAAGAGATCCGTCATTGGGGAGAGGGACAGCATTTCATAACCAGATTAAACCATTAGTGGACTGAGAGGTGGCTGAAGGAATAGCAGAAGTTAGGTGTAGAAAGTTTGGGGAAATATACAATTAACTGCCAAGGTGAGCTTATTACCATTTAATAAGAAAAACGTAGGCATGAGCTACAATCATTGTTTAAATGATTCTTAAAAGTGCAATATTTTTTTCAATGTTAAAAAACGTTCTCCTGTCTTTTGCCTAAACTATGTAATTTTTTGCCACTAGAGGTCGTTTATTCAAAACGAAGGCGTAGCTTGATGACGCCTTGATTTCACGGAATCATGGGAGTTGTTGTCTTCACCTCTACGGAGAATACGACGACGACTCAGGCAGAAATCATATTCATGGATGACCAGTTATGGATTAAAGATTTATTAACGTAACGAGGCCGCTGCAGTGATTGCTAATGAGAGACAAGGACGACCCATAGCTCGAGAGCAGTGGAGCTTTTATTATGCCGCAGACCGCTTCCTCTTCTTCCGTTCATGAGTATGGGGGGTAACGCAGCGTGGTTTTGTCATATTAGATACATTTGAGTGTGATATAAGTTGCTATAATGCTACTCTGTGCGTTCGCTCGGCGGCTATTATATGAGACACTTGTTGCACACTGCAGTGAGTGAGCTAGATTGATATTAGGCATAAATAGGCTACTCGCAGTAAATAAATAAAAAAACTAGATTTAAACAAAAAGACTAACTGTGTTGAGCTATATGATTAGTTTTCTGTCGATGAATGTATCCAAACAGTTGCTCACCTGTCTAATAAAACACATAATATATTAAAGCGTCTTTGGTGTTTCCATGGTTTGCTAAACAATAAAACCGGAAATCGAGAGTAACGTGGGTATGATGTCATTGATGGGCGACGCAAGGACATGGTTCGTGTCCTGGTTAAAACTGCTTATTTCTCTGGATTTAAACATTCTTAGAAACCTTCGGGATAATATACGCAAATCAACTAAATATATAACATTGTTCTAGTGATTTTTGGATATTTTGATCCAAAAATCTTACATACTGTGCCTTTAATGTGGATAGACAACTGTAAGAAAGTCATTTATAAGTTGATTTGATGATAAAATAATAAAATGTTTCTAAAATAATTTATTATAATTTTTTTTTTTAAAGGTGCAGTGTGTAACATTTTTGAGTATTTATTAACAGAAATGCAATATGACATCCATAACTATGTGTTTAGTGGTGTATAAAGAACTTACTTAACAAACCGTAATGTTTTTATTACCTTAGAATGAGGCATTTATATCTACATAGGCGCGGGAATCCCCTTCTATGAAGGTCGCCATATTGTGACGTCATATTTCTACAGTAGCCGAACGCGAACAAACAACGCTACAGAGCGCGTTTCGTCACTACCTTGAAAGAGAAGCCGCAGGAAGCTAGAAGAAGCTAGTCATAAACACCGTGAGTAGTGACTTTTCCCTTGTCAGTGGTGTAAATATGTAGTTGGATTGTTTCATGTAACTTAATTCTTCTCCCTCGCTGTGTTATGGCTTTGCTATGTGGGGATAAATGTGCTGGTTAAGTTCGTGAGACAGCTGATTAGTTGGCTACTCATTGACCGTAATACAGAATCACCAACCCGTCGATCTTGGAAGCATTTTAAGTCGATCCAGTTTCCAAAATCAGAGTAAAAAAGCCTATTGTGTGTAGTAAGTGTGTCTAGGGATGCGGAGGCGCGCGCGCTGTTACAATCACGTCATTTTTGCCGCACGCACCTTTGGGCTCATGCGGACGCGTCGAGTTTAAACAAGGATTTACGCTTAACGAGCTCAGCCACAGTAACAGCTCATATTAGCCAGCTAAACTTTTACTACCCTGTTAGAAAAATATATAGTTGCATATTTTCATGTGGTTCTTCTCCCTCGCTGTATTATGGGTTTGCTATGTGGGGAGAATGTGCTGGTTACGTTCGTGAGACAATCAGCTGATTACTATCATTATATTATGTAACATTAAGACCCTTGATCCTCACCTGAAACTTTATCCATGATGTGGTTTATAATGGACTGTGGTACAGAAACTTGGTTTACGCTGGCTATTCTCTGCTGTCTCAGACGACGATGTTTGTCCCGTTTTAGCCACCGTAGCTTCTTCGAAAGGGAGGGGTGAGCGGTGGGCTGAGCCCTTAGTGTAAACTCGCAACCGAACCGCTAGATGTCGCCAAAAATCACACACTGGACCTTTAAATTTCATGTTATGACAGATAAACGGTATATTGCAGATAATAAAATGAAGTATTATTTTCTGCAAATAAGTAACAAATTAAATTGTTTAATTAACTGTCATTTTAAATGCTGCAAGTGATATTAAAAATATTTTTTTGTGTAAATAAATTGTACAAAAATAAATAAAACTAAAAACTAACTATCATTTTAAGAACTAAAAAAGAAATTAAGCATCACAACATTATAAAAGATTATAAAAACCATCTCAAATTCGGCCCAATAACTGATATAGTACTGATATTTTGTGAATCTTAAGAAATAATAAAGTAACATCTAGAAGTAACTATTTATTTCAAAATTAAGAGTTTCTTAATTATGATATTATTCTGTAAGAAAATAGTTCTTAACCACAATTCTCACATTTTTTTGCTTATAAAAGGCAAGTTCTCAGATTAAATACCACCTAGGGATCCAAAAAACATAGCTATTTCCACTCTTTAATCTCTTCTTCCATCCTCCCAGCTATAAGTTTCAAAACCCCATAGCCGGCATGTGTGTATGGGTTCGCGTGGGTTAGTGGCAGTAACAGTTTATGTGGTTTGGGCTCAAGTCTTCTGAAGTCAGAGAAGGCTCGAGACGGTACTCGCTCCACCACAAAACCACACTAGGAACGAGTGAGTCACTCTACAGTACAGTCACCTCCTCAGGTGGACAAGGGGAAGGAATGAGTGAGAAGGAGAGACGGGGACAGACGATGACTACAAAAGAAAAACATCATGTTGAATAGTACAAACAAGAGAAATGTTAGAAATAGAGCTGTGCGTGTCTACGCAATTCTGGAGTGTTTGCAAAACAAGGACATGCCACATCAAATTAATTACAGATTTAAATCATGTAGAATAGATCCTGACATGGACAAAGAATACCAGAGGGATCTGTCATTATGGTGTTTCACTGTTTCCTTTCATTCACTTGAGTAACACTGAAAGCACCTATAAACTAAACAGCACTTCCTTTCTGGCAAATGTTTGTCATCCTAAACGGCTAGGCCTGATTTTCACTGGAAGGAGGTCACAATGTCGTAACAATATTGTAATATAAAACAAATAATTGTGTCTTTTATTTAGTATTAGAGCTACACAGCCA